GGCCGAACCTCGGGGCCGTCCCGGCACCCTGGTTCAGCCGCAGGGCACGTCTGGGCTCTGCAGCCCGGCAGGGCAGTCTCAGGGTGCAGGAGAGGAGGAAACGGGGGTTGCATTGGGCTGCTCACCCTCACGTTTCATTCAGCTGTTAACTTTTTATGTCAAAATTGCATCGGAAAGCTATTTACTTTGCCCCCTCTATCTTTAAGATCCATTTTATTCCTGAAATGGGAACCCAAATTCCTTACTGTTTTGAGGAAGTCGCTGTGCTGCCTGTTTGCTGGGCTGAGCTGCTCTTGCTAGCTCGAGAAGCGCTGAAAGTTGCTGGCTGAATGTTAATGATCTGTAGCTAATTGTTTTGACGCTATTGACTCTGAAACCTAATGATATCCGTGTCCGAATGTTTCCGCTCGGTTGAGAGTTTTTAGTAACCAGTGCCTATGAACTTAAAGCTGTGTGTTGTAAAAATCAGTTTTCGTAAGACAACGGACCACAAAGGCTAAAATGGTTGGTGGTGGGAGACGGGGCTTCCTGCGCTGGTTGGTGCGTGACCGCCTCGGAATTTGCCAAAGTGGAATTTGGAAACAGCCCCCGAGCGCCCGGTGGGCACCCCGGGGCGCCGGGTCCGCGGCGCCGGCCGGGAGGAGCGTTGCTCCGGCTCCGGACCCGGCTGCGGTCGCCTCCCGTTGCCCCAAGGAAGGCAGCGGGCTCGGAAGCAGCTTTCCTTGGCTGTGCCTATTGGCGCTAAAATAGCAGGACGGAGCTGCCAACTGCCTAACGCAGGATTTTCTAATCTATGAAACGAGAGGAAAGGTATCTGCTTCCCCACGGTACCTCGCTCGGTGCTTTGTGCTGCTGTGGCAAGAGCTGCTTCCCGGGGCTGCTCGCAGCTATTTTGTTCTCCCCATCCTACGCCAGCTGATTCCCAGCGTGGGAAATTGCCTTCTGCTGCTCACGGGGAATGGGATGCTCTTCCTCATAGTCTTAAAAGGTGGAATAAGTTAAAAAACGATTTTCTGCAAGCCCTGGCTGCTTTCCTTTCTGCTGCTTATCTGTTTTGCTGAGGAGTTCATTCCAGCACCCGGCTCGAGACTGGCTTTAAATCCTGTCATTTGTGTCCTGGGCAATTCCAGCGTGGGGGTTAATGCTCAGAACTTCCCTCTGCACCGTTGCTTCCCGTCACCTTCCGACGCTGTGAAACCTCCAGGTGCCATACGGAAAGGAACAGGCAGTTCAGTTGTTTTTTAATGATGATTTTGATGCTTTCAGATGAATTATTAAATTTGGTGTAGACATTGGAGCTAGCTGGTGCAGGGAGATCTTAGAGGACCTGGGTGCCCCTCCTGGCTCGGGTTGTCCAAGCCTCCTCTCTTAGAGGTAATAATTTCTTTATTAACTGTTACTTTTAACTGCTAATAAAGACCATTTCAGGCTAAAAGACATTATTTTTGTAGGCTTAAATAGTTCTTATAGAAGGTTTAGTCCCTGTTAGGACCTCATTATGTTGATATCAGAACTTTGGGGAAATCTTGGGAACGATTTGTGAGTCGGCAGTTGGGCTAGGAGGCCAGTTAAGCTGGAGCAGCAAAAATGAAGCAGTTGGACTCGTTTGATGCAGAAACGTCCCGGTTTCCTGCATAAGACTCAGCACTGGGTGACTGCTGCACACGGGTGTTTTGGGGATGTTCCCTCTGCGGCTTCAAATTCCAGGTGGGCATTTGAGCGGGCACGAAGGTTGGTGGAAAAAAAAAAAAAGAGGGGGGAAAAAAAAAAAAAAAAAAAGGCAGGAAAGCCGTGCAGGAGCAGGCTGAGATGTACCGCCGTGGTCCGTGTGCGGAACGGCACCCGAGAGGAGCTCCGTAACCTCATATCCCTCCCAGGATATCAGTCTGTCATAGCGAGTAATGTAAGGTACGGTTAAAAAGACAGAGAGTATCCTATATCCTGTATCCTATATCCTCTATTGCCGAGAGTGGGAGGCCTCGCTCCCGAGCTGCTCAGCGCTTCCACCCTCAGGAAACTGCCGCTTTCTGCTGAACTCCATGTCTCCTTGGTACAGCAGCCGAATACGGGCACTGCACAGTGCTGAGAACTGCCCCTGCTTGTGCGGGCAGAGTTTTTGCCGGTGCCGTTTCTCTTTGCGGGAAGTTTGGGACAAAGACTAGTGCTGCTTTTCATACCCGTTGGTTTTGAGGCTGTGCCTACTGGAAATCTTCTTGTTTTCAGGACTCGCAGCGACTTCTGCACTTTTGAGCAGGTTACTGGGGGGAGGAAGCCAAAAAAAACCACGGGGAGGAGAAGGGAAGCGCACGAGTTAAAGCAGTCAAACGTCCCCCTGCCCAGACACACGGGGCATTGGGGAGCTCGAGCAGGGACAGGACTGAGTTTGCAGCACTGCCCTCACTGTGTCCCTGCTTCCAGCACCTCAAATGGTCAGTGTTTGCCTTGGTCGGGGTGTCCGTGATATATATTTCTTGTTTAAATGCTTTCAGTGCAATGAGAAGGCTGCAGCGGTGGGTGCAGCACCCGAGAGCATCTCGTGGCACTGAGCGGTTTCACGGTAAAACGCAGAGGGTTTGTGACTAGCTCAAAGTCAACAGCCTTGCTCGAGTACTGCCCTCAGTACTCGAAGCTATCGCTTACACAAGCAGCAGGGTTATTTAAACGTCATCTGATGTGATGTTAGAGCCTGTGCGTGTTCCTGGGAAGGGGCTGGAAGTCAACATTTATTTCAGGTTGTGTCTAGTCGCCTGTCCTGGCTGCTTGGGGGAACGCAAGGCAGACTCAAATGGTGCAGTTTCCCAAAGGGATGATTTCTCTTTCCACATCTGCGCAGCATCCCGGGGCTGTGGTGCAGGAATTCCGGCGTTCCCTCTGGGCTCCCGTGGGAGCTCCATGGTAGTGTGTCTGGGCAGTGCTAGGAAGGAGCACTTCCCTGGTTTTCCTGCCGTTCCCCTCTGGCATGAGCCACGCGCTCCAAGGCAGCAGCTGCTGTCCCTCGTCCTCACCATTGCCACGGAGTGACCTTCCCTGCCGGCACTGCTGGCTTGGGGCAGTCCAGCTGGGACAGGGAGCTGGAATGTGGCTTTAATTGGAAGAGCAGCATCCTCAGCCAGGTGGGGCTTGAGAAACGAAGAAAATGGGGATGGTGCTTCAAATTGGGCACTGATCTGCAGAGGTTTTATCTGTGCAGCGGGTAAACACAACTAATGACCCGAGAGGACCTCACCAGTTTCAAAACCTGAGCCTGATTTCAGAAAAAAATAAATAGGCTGTATATATAAAAATAGCCTTAATCATTCTTGACCAGTAGCTGAAGGAGCTGGAAGAGTAGGAAAAATGAGTATAGAGTATTCATTACAAAGACATTTTGCTTTGCAAATAAGCAGGTGAAAGACAACAACATAAACCAGTTCTTTATGGCTTCTTTACTTTTTGAGGCCAGCTTCCCATGGAGTGTGCAGAAAGCAACTAATGCTGATTTGATAAGACAGCGTCAGAAATGGAAATCTGTTATCCTCGTGTGGTGCCAGGGGCTCCTCTGACTTCTTTTTTATAATTGGAGAGAAGCGGTAAGAAGAAGAGGGCACTGAAAGAACGGGGTGTCCACGAGTACTTGAAGCGTTCTGACATGAGCTGGACCGAGTGCAGTTTAATGCCGTGCTAGGTCAGCCCGCAGTGCTCTTCGTTATGGAAGATCCTTCCTCTTTCCTCCTTTGCGAGCAGCAGAGGTGTTGGCCCGACGTCCTCGCTGGCTTCACGTCCCCCTGGTGTCTGCATCACTCCGGGCCCTCGCGGCACCCTCGGCCAGCGAGCTGGAGCTGCGCCGTGCGCGGTCGGCTCTGCTTCCCTATAACAGACCTATAAACACTTTCCTGCTTGGCATTTTGCAGTAGTTACGGGGAAAAAGCTCGTCTCGACGGGCATCTCGCAGGGTGCTGTGGTCTCGTGACAAGAAGAGCGGGAGCTGCACCGTGCGTGGTCGGCTCTGCTTCCCTATAATAGACCTATAAACGTTTTCCTGCTTGGCGTTTTGCAGTAGTTACAGGGGGAGAAGCTCGTCTCGACGGGCGTTTTGCAGGGTGCGTTGCACACAGTGGTGGCCTGCGGAGGAGAGGGATCTCCCTCGCTGCATGGGGGGAAGAGGAGGCTTGGCCTGCTTGCACCACGTCCTGGTCCGGGTCAGTCACCACGTGTGAGCGGTGCCGGGCAAGGTGCTGTGGTCTCGTGACAAGAA